CTTTATCATTGATATATAAATTTGAGATGCACCTGAATCTAAGTTTTTTAATAGGGAATGAAGATGATATGACATGTATGTTAGAGCATAATTGAAATATTGGTTGTATGGAGCTCCATATGTAAGCTATTGCTGATATAGAGGGTTCTACTTCTAAAACATGCAGAAGGTTCTAACTGATATGTAAGTAATCATTGGTCTATTGTTAAAATTAAGGTTTGTGTGATGTAAGCTTTGTGATTTTAGGTTTCATACTACAGACCCATCTTAAATGTTAACTTTAATAGTTACATGTTAACTATCAATGTTGTCTGTTAACTATCATAGATGCCAGTTAACTTTCACATGAATCTGTTAATTCTTCCTATCGTCTGTTAACTATCGTAGCTATTTGTTAACTCTCACATGAACATGTTAACTATTCATGTCTTATGTTAACTATCACAGCTATTTATTAACTCTCACATGAACTTGTTAACTATTCCTATCATTTGTTAACCGTCACATGAACCTGTTAACTTTCACATGAACCCGTTAATTTTCACGTTCACTAGTTAATTTCATAGTTTATTTTGAAATCTTATTTGGTTTCTTAATTTGTGCAGCCGTAATACTTCTTGGAATTCAGAATATAATCATACTGCTCTAGGAGTTACTTCTAATTCAGAGAGAATCCCTAATGATTGTCCTTCTGGTGAGAATGCAGTGAGATCAGATGGCATTCTCAACAATACTTCCACCATTCATCAATGGTGGCACATAACATTAATTGAAAAGGGTCAATAATTTGAAAGTATAAATGAACTAAAACTAGTTTTGCTATACTATTCTATGGCGAAAAAGTTTGATTATGAATTTATAAAGAATGAACCCAAACTGATTATTGTGGATTGCTATGTAGAACTATATTTTTGGTAAAACAATATAAGTTATTAAGACTTTTGTAGCTCATTGTGGAAGAATTTTATAAGCGTTAAGAATGTAAGACCAATCTAATTGTGTATTCAAGTTATATCAGTTGTAAGAATATAAGACTAATCAATATAAAGTACATATTTACTATATATTAGCTATTTATGTTTCCTGTTAACTATCTCAGTTAGCTTTTAACTTTTGCTTGAACCTGTTAACTTTTGGTTTTTCCTATTAACTTTCACTAAAGTTAACAGGTAAGATTCACACCTAATTTTTCATAGTTCGTGATCAACTCATACAATCAAAAAGTTTGCATAATTTTGATGCTTAAATACACACATCTACACGATAATATCTCTTTAACATTTTCTTTGTACACGACCTGTTATTATCACATTTTAAGAAACTATGTCTCTATTTGGCATTTCATCAAACATTCTATAAGCATTCATAAGTTTTTAGCCCATGAAATATCATTTTAACCTGCAAGCCAACTCATACACCTCACAAACATTTTGACAAACAACACATATGTCCCAAAATCCTCATTTTCCTCATCATCATCCTCCTCCTTTATTACCCACTAGATATGAGCTCTAACTCTAACCTTCATCTCTAACCGCCTTCTACGCCTCTTGCAGACCACGCTCCATCACTAAATCCATCCATACCCCCTCCCGATCTTCCTTTACATCACATCACCATGGACCTCACTGACTCGATGAGCTCGACCTTTCCTTCTTTCTCTCCTACTCCTTCTCTGTGCTCCTCTCCATCCATCTTGCTGGCCCGCCTCTCCTTCTTCTCTAAACGTTCTCAGCGCTTGCCTAAGATGACGGGACTGGAGGGTATGCTCAGTGGTGGCAGCGGAGGAGGCGAGTGAGGGAGACATTGGGTCAGAGGGTAAGAGGAGTAAGAGGGAGAGAGAGGAGGAAGGTAGTGTTAGGGGAGAGGAGGAGGAGGAGGAGAAAAGGAGAAGAGGAGGAAGGATTAGTCATGGTCTCCATGAGAAAAAGAGAAAGATAAAGAGAAGAAGAAGAAGAAGAAGTAGTAGTAGAACATGAGGGGTAGTTTTAGAATTTTTTAGGTTATTTTTCTGAACAGTGTAAAAAAGGGCTGAATCACAAAAACCATTTGTATTTAGGGCTTATATATAAGGGAATTAATATAGGAGTGGGGGCACATGAAGTTCTTTATTTTGGGACATTGACACAATTTTTCCTACTTTTGAATATATTTTTTCATTTTTTTAAATATTATTAAAAAAGAGCTATTAAAAAGGAGAGTTTGATAGCTAAACTATCCAACTTTAAATTAAAAATTGTGAAATAAAAAAATATCCGGTCGCACATTTGGCAAGCTATTTTTTTCTATTTTTATCTTACGAAATTATAAATAAATAGGAATATTGTAAAGGAGATGCTGATGGTTAAACTGACTACACTCTGAATTTCAAATTTTAGAGTAAAAGTCATCTACCTCTTATTTTAATTTTCTTTTAAGTTTTAAACTATTTGAGGAAAAGGCCCCCATTCAAATTATTTAATTTTCAATATTTCATATGCTATAATTTATTATTATGAAATATGCATGTGAATAAAGAAGAAACTCCTAGAAACTAAACATTAAATTTAAAAAATAAAATTCTACCCTTCCAAGTTAATAATGTGGGTATAGTTCTCGCTACTTGCTCCATATTGTTTATAGTATATGTAAGACTCACTTGTGTGAACATGAAAAACATACTTGTAAGAATAAATGGTAAAAATTAGGATAATTAGATTCTTTCAAATTTAAGTGATTCATGTGGGATTTGATAATAGGAAATCGACAATAAAATAAGGAAACCTTCACATCTTTCATTTAAAATTGGAAAAGCCTTCACATCTTTCATTTGAAATTGGATATTTGTCATTAAACAGAATTTTCATTTGAGGTTGGTTGGTGTTTTTAACTTGTTCACATCTGATCCAGTGATATTAGATTAGATCGATGGCCCTGTATTCATCCGTATATGCATATTAAACTCAAAGTAGACTTGTTCATTAAAGGATCAATCGGATCTCAATCCATACACGAGCCGCTTAAAAGTTGAGCACGTACGGTACGCACATCATCTCATCTAAACTAGGGTGGCACTAGGGGCACACCCCCAACCACATCCCAAACCACACCCCCTCTCTCATATGCTACAGTACATCAGCCCCACATGAGATTTTAAAATTCCCCCTCTCATGTGAGGCCCGGTGTATTGTAGCATATGAGAGAGGGGATGTGGTTGGGGGTGTGCCCCTATTATTTTCCTCTAAACTAATCACTAAAGCGTGGATCATCCCTAAGGCCTAAGGCATAACATTTTTGGTAAGGGGATTTTGTTAAAATTGGTCCTTACTTTTCCACTTTCATGTCGGGCGTGTTTGGCCACCAAAAAGTTAATCGGGGTAGAAAGTAACTACTTTCTCTTTATTTTCTATTTGTAAATTTTGTATGGCAATCGAAAAGTGAAAATGTGAAAAGTCAAGTTGACTGAAGATGTAGCATCCACTTTATTAATTTTTATATATTTTTGGTTTATATTATAATTAGATAGTAAAAAATAGACATTTTTAGGCACTCACTTTAGCATATATACACTGGAAAAAGAAATACACGGTGACCATTCTTGGACAATATTATCCTTAAATTTTTATGAAGAAATATGTACAACTGAAGCACAGTCAAAGACAATGAATTAATTTTCTACACAATATTTTTTTTTTGACAAGGAAAGTTCTCTGTGATTCTTCGGACCATGAGTATGAAACCTCGTGTAGCTAAGGGGCACTCCCCAACGCACAACCTCAGTACTTAGGAAAATAAATTCTTATGGGTGCTTCTTTGGAGAGTCAACTCTATGGAGTACTACTCATAGAAGGAAGTTTACCAATTCGGATAGGACTTATTTGTTGGCATTTTTGTTTTGATGATGTTTTAACAAATAATTTATAGCTAATATTATTTGTCTAATGTTTGTGCTTTTATATTTATTCTAGACAAACAATCAGTTGGAGGTTGGATGGAATTACGTCATAACGATCATATCCAATGAAGGTTGGCGGAATATCGGAGTGAAGCAATGCAATTCAAGTCAAGATCCAAGTTCAAGCTTCATCAAAGTTTACCAAGTCGAGCCATATTGAAGATCATATATATATATATATATACATGTTTTGATTTTATAGTTTTCAAGTTTAAATATGAAATAATTGAATAAAATTGGAAAATACATTTTGTTTCATGTTTGTATATGCATAGATATGATTTCATCTTTAACAAGTTCAAATTTAATGAAATCATATTTGTTGTTTGAACTTTTGCATAATATTGAGTTTTTGGTTTATAGACTTAATAATAATAGTTTATATCTTTTATCAAGTCTATAAAATCACTTTATAAAGTTTCAAATGTTTGTTTAAGTCAAAATGACAAAAACAAGTGTTTTGTATTTTTATGTATATCACATTTTTCATGTTTTGGATATATTTGCAAAATGATAAGATTTTACAATTGAGAAGTGTAATTCTAAAAAAAAAAATTGTAACATATTTATTATCATGTTTACAATCATACATATATTATACTAAATTATTTCGTTCTTATAATAATAACTTAATATTTCACAATTTAAATACAATAAAATTAGGTATATTATATTAATATACTTTATTAATTATATCCTTATGTTATATATATTGTATTAAATGGTATTCGTTTTTAATTTAAACACAATAAAATTAGGTATATCATATTAGAATACATTCAATTAATATGATATTTTATTTAAATAAATAACGATATGTTATATTATATTAAATATATTTTACTATATTGTATTTTTTTCATATTGATAAAAATAACAAAAATGAAGGGAACGCCGTGATTCCCAAACACTACGCCAGGATGTTTCAAACTCGAATGTTAACACTGATGACGGAGACACAAAATAAAATCAGAATAAATTATAAACCCCACCAACATTAAAATAGTACTTTACTACTGAGCCAAAGCATGAATAAAACCCCATTAAGATCAAACCCGAAGATTTGTCTCATCTTCACTCCCCCAAAATGGACGCCTCCTCCTCTCTCGCTCTCCCTCAACCTCCCCTCACGGGCGCCGCCTCCCACCTACCACCCTCCCCTCACGTGCGCCTCGCGCGCCATCGTCAAACCCCCTCTCCACTCCGCCGCGCGCCGCCGCCGCCGTATCCTCCTCCTCATCGCCTTCGGCTGTTTCCCAATCGAGGCTCCTCTCTCCTCCCTCTCTCTCCTTCCCCTTCATCTTCGATCCCGTTGAAGAGAGTCTCTACAGATTCGCTTCAGTACGAGAGCGGATACCTCGGTGGGATCTCGACAAGACTCTGCCGTCGGATGAAGATGCTGATGGAGTCAGCGATGGGTTCCCATGCGGTCTCGTACCTACGAGCATACTATCCTCTAGGGTTTATGATGTCGCCATCGAGTCACCGCTGCAGCTGGCGAGTAAGTTGTAGAGAGGCTCGGGGTTAATCTCTGGCTCAAGAGAGAGGACTTGCAACCGGTAATCCCTAATCTCAATCGCTAATTTACTTGTTTGCAAACTTAACTAGGGATTTTATCTGTTAAAGATTGCACTTTGTTTTTTAACGAATCAAAGGTTGAGGCTTTTTCTTCTTTCTTTTTTCTTTTTGCCGAACTAGTGATGGCCGTGTAATCTTTAATCTATTTTTGTATCGAATAATCTGTTTTTTCAGCCAAAGATTGAATCTTTTCGTCCAATTTGTAGTATTTTGATGTTTTATATCGTATTCAATTGACGCCATTTGCGTTGAGCTATTCTACAAATATATATTTTCTCAGTCCAAGATTTAACTCTTGCTTTTGATAAATCAAAGATTGAGACTTTCTTGCTGAATTAGTGACTTGTTGAGCTTCCGAGCATATTTAGTATGTAGACTTCGTTTTCTTGAAGTTCTTTAACTGGCTTGATTGAGTGGCTGTACTTTTATAAAATGTAGGTTTTCTCATTCAAGTTGAGAGGAGCATATAATATGATGGCAAAGCTTTCGAAGGAGCAGTTGGAGAGGGGTGTTATCTGCTCATCAGCTGGTAACCATGCCCAAGGAGTGGCACTGGCCGCTCAAAGACTAGGATGTGATGCTGTCATAGCAATGCCCGTAACTACACCTGAAATAAAGGTTTCACAAGCCCTGACTTAGTGCTATTTACTTCCATCATTTGGCTTCTAATCACACTGTGTCAATTTTGCAGTGGAAATCGGTGGAGAGATTAGGTGCGACGGTTGTCCTTGTGGGGGATTCTTATGATGAAGCACAATCATATGCCAAGCAACGAGCAGAGCAGGACGGCCGCACATTCATTCCTCCATTTGATCACCCTGATGTTATAGTAGGGCAAGGGACGGTTGGAATGGAAATAGTACGCCAATTGAAGGGTCCATTGCATGCGATTTTTGTGCCTGTTGGAGGTGGTGGACTGATTGCAGGAATTGCTACTTATGTCAAAACAGTCAGGCCAGAGGTGTGTATGCTTAGATGTATTTCATGTTTTATTTTGAATGTTAATGTCCTTTTGTGCTATTAACCCTGGACTCATTAAAAAGGAGTAAGAATTGAAATTGAACAACATTATTGTGGTAGCATGGTATATACATGCTAAGAGTTTTGCTGTGTTTGCCGTCTATACTTGCATTTTATAGTCCAGAAATTTAAGCTTGCTAATTATTTTGGGTCACAGATAACTTTTTGAACTGGCCTTCTCATGGTAGAGGAGGGAAACCTTAATCAATCGTTCTAGCAAGGATTTTTAAGATACTTTATCATGGTATTATACACCTTTTTAATATACTTGGCGGTGATTTCTATAAGTGTATAACCTACCAGTGAGGTTAGGTAACTAATTAAAATTTCTCATGTCATTTTTTTGCTAGATTCTTGAGAAAAGGATGGAAAAGGTGATCACTCTGCATCCTAATATTTACTTTCCAATATGCTGAATGATCTTTATGTATAATCTGCCTGCGAAGTTTATTCATTATGATAACTGGTGTAAAAAATTAACCTGAATGTTTTTGGTATGGTGTGAGTGTTCCTTGGTGTTACAATTTACAAATTTCATATAGTCTTTATGGCAGAAGCTAAGGGTGACTGTTACCATGCCTACTTGATATTTCTTCTTCTTGTGGTGCAATAGGAAATATGGTTCATTAGATAATCACATACACCTACCTACTAATCTTGTCAATCTGTCGCAGCAATATCTTTATGTCAACTTGTTTTAAGTGGAAAGTTTTCGTTGGGTTTGGTCGCTCAATTTAGCTTGCTATGCAGGTTAAGATCATCGGAGTGGAGCCAGACGATGCTAATGCAATGGCATTGTCTTTGTATCATGGACAAAGAGTCATGCTTGAACAAGTAGGAGGCTTTGCAGATGGTGTAGCTGTAAAAGTAGTGGGTGAAGAAACATTCCGATTATGTAGGGAACTTGTAGATGGTGTGGTCCTTGTTAGTCGTGATGCTATTTGTGCATCCATAAAGGTGAGTTTTGCATTTCTTTTTTTCATACCTATGAGATAATATATTTCCATGCTTATATTTGTTTGTTTGACTTTTTGTGGTCCATGTGCATGTATCCTATATGGATCTCTCTCTCTTTTTGGTGTGTATCACATTTGTATAAAAATGTATACATTCACAAAAATGATTTCAATAGTGTTTTCCCTTGACATTATGCTGCTCATGGAACTGGTAATTCCCCATTAGACAGGTTTTGGTCAGTGGTGTCCAGGTTATGCTAGTGTTTTGTTAATAAATGACTTTTATATGGTTCTTTTTGGTGTATTGATACTTTTATGAACCTTTTAGACGCTATAATTGGTCAACCCTCAATTTACAAGCAGGACATGTTTGAGGAGAAGAGAAGCATTCTTGAACCAGCTGGTGCTCTTGCTCTAGCTGGAGCAGAGGCTTACTGCAAGTTCTATGGTTTGAAAGGGGAATCTGTGGTTGCTCTAACCACTGGGGCTAACATGAACTTTGATAGACTGAGGTTGGTAACTGAGCTTGCTGATGTTGGTCGGAAACGAGAAGCTGTTCTTGCAACATTTCTACCTGAAGAGCGGGGAAGCTTTAAGCAGTTTTGTGAACTTGTAGGTTACATCTTTCTTCCTTAAAGTTTTTTTTTCTCCCTAACATTTGTTTCAAATTCATTCTGTGAATTTAAAAAATTTACAACATGGCAGGTTGGTCCTGTTAATATAACAGAATTTAAGTACAGATACAACTCCTACAAAGAAGAAGCCTTGGTTCTTTACAGGTAAGTCCCCACGATATGTTAGAATGGGTTTTTATCGTTTTGTGCTAACTCTTTGTTTACTATTACAGTGTTGGAGTTCATATTGACAGTGATCTTAAAGCAATGATAAATCGCATGGAACTTTCCCAGCTTCGAACAGTAAACCTTACGAACAATAACTTGGCAAAGGATCATCTGAGACACCTAGTATGATTTCGACCTAAGATGCCCCTTTTGTTTATTGATGTCCAGTCATTGAGAATATTCAAATTAAGAAAATAGCTTTTCGTGTTGATTGAATATAAGCAGTATTTTTGCTTGAAATTCCTTGCCAGGGAGAATATTAGCTGGTACCAAGTTTGATATTTGGGCATGATAGCTTCTAGTTGTTCGGTTCACAAAGTTACTTATCCAACCATACTTTTTTTTTTGGGGCTTACAGCTTCTTGCGGGAGATAAGTGGTTCACATTCATCTTGTTATTAAAAATTTTCATTTTGAGACCAACTGAAGCTTGTGCATTAGTTCCCCATCTCACAGTCAGACTTGTACATCACTCACTTTCTCCATAATCAGCCAACGGTCTTACCCTTTTAGAAATGACACCATGTTCACATGCATGTGCACTGTCTGAGCTTCTTTTGGTTTTTGCTTTGATGAAAAGGAAAAAAAAGAAAAACTGATATACAACAACGGCAAGAAAACCCTTGCAACACTTGTTATTGGTTTACATTAATTGTTTTCTTGCTCTTGGTTTTGTAAATGATCCTCCTCCATTAACAGGTATCATATGTTCTTAATTTTTTTATTTCAGAAAAAAATTAGGCCTAGCTCTAAGCCGCACTATTTTGTTAACTACAATTTTATCACTTCTCCATCTGGTGCATACTTATTAGCTTCCATTTCACCTGTCCAAATCAATAAGTTCTCATTTTTTTCTCAACAACAGATAATCATTATTATTACACACCTATTATTCAGCATGCACATTCTGCTTTACACATGTTCTTGGACAGAGTGGACAGAGTGAATCATGCAACATTCTGATCCATTAAAATTGCTGGTCATACAGCCATCTTATAAAACTTTCCTTCAATTTCATGGGTGTTCTGGGAATGCATAAAAGTTTAGAACTTTTTTCTTCATTAACCGTCCGGCTTTGATCTGTAATTGCATCCTTAATTTCATCATGACGGACGACCGTTCCGGTTCTAATGCAAAGGACTTGATGCCAATTCGTATAAGTAATATGGTAATGAGGAAGAAGTCTCCTATCAATTCTTCTCGCTGTAGTTGCTGCTCTATTATACAAATCCTCGATCAAATAAAAGCACCAATAGCTATTTGTACATAAGTTATTTGTCTTTTACTATAACTCACCACATAGGGACCTTATCATATATCATAATTTTCTCTCTAAATCACTGAAAATCATATGTTTTTTTCTTCTCTTTGTATCTTTCTGTTAGTCATCTTAGTAGATATTAGATAAGAGTTTGCATATTTGGTATGCTGATGGAAACCTGTAGTATGTTAAACGTTAATGCTACAAGAATGATGATTTCTCAGCAATGCATCTGAAGGTTACAACATTAGTTTTTTCAGGGGTACATAGTTCGCTAACTTAGTTGAGAAGCTCTCATCTTCCATTCTGACAACTTTTTCACTATGGGACTGCCACTCTGGTTTGATGTGGGAATAGCGATGAAGCCATACGCAATCACACACTTAATGCCCAAGATTAACTTCATTTTGTTCTGTGATCTTCATTATATATGATCATTTTAGTGGACCTCTACCTCTTACATATTGGTAGGCGGCTGTAGGCCTGCCTTGTAATAATAAGGAGCACGTTTGAGAGTTTCCCATTGCATGATTTCCTTTACTAATTCCATAAGTTTTTCTATTAAGCAGTATTTATCAATGGCAATATGTGGTCTAAGGAGTGTAGCTTTTTTCTGCTTTATTCAATAAAATGCTATGCGAAATAGCTATCATCTGACTTCTTTTGACATATATTAGATGGGAGGCCGTTCCGATGTCCAAAATGAACTCCTTTGCCGATTTATCTTCCCTGAGAGGCCAGGTGCTCTTGTGAAATTCTTGGATGCCTTCAGTCCCCGTTGGAATATCAGTCTATTCCATTATCGGTCACAGGTCTGTGATTTCTCTCTTCTCCTTATTAATTAAATCTACAAAAAATACTATAAACAAAGACAACAACAGCGACAACAAAGCCTTTATCCCAAATTTTGGGGTCGGCTACTATAAACAAAGACACATACATGAAAATAAAACACATTCAATTAGGAGAAATCAAACTGTTTGTTCATAAGAGAAAGCATGAATGCATTGGAGACCTGTGCAAGGTTTCAAGTCAGTTGAACACTATTTTATCTGGCTGGCAATAAGTACTGATACCCTTCCCTGCAATATCATTATTCTTTTTTTACAGGGTGAGACGGGTGCCAATGTGTTGGTTGGAATCCAAGTTCCTGACGAAGAAATGGAAGAGTTTCGGAATCAAGCCAAATGCCTTGGCTATGAGTATGCAGATGAGATGAACAACGAAGCTTTTAGGCTTTTAATGCATTGATGAGCATAAGTTAAATATCTCAGTAAAAGCATCCCCCTCATCAAATTTTAAAATCTCATACCATTTTATCTGCGTTAATTTGGTACCTTGTTACTTCTGGCTATCCTATGCCATGTTCTTCTTAGATCGAAGTCGATGATCTTAAACATTTACCTAAATTCAGGTGAAATGAAGGGAGGCCTATAGGTTTATCCTCCTGCATTTCTCATTTTGATGTATTATTGATTTTATCTTGATCTTGGGAGTTCTCTTGTGTGAACATTATGGCTTGGTATGAGTGCAGAGAGCTGCCTCCTTTAGCAGTTTTGTATATTTCGTTGGTGGATTATGTCCAATTTTATCGTGGAAATGGATTACTTTATTTTGAATGACTATTGTGATCACTCCTGAGCTCTCTTATTGTAAGAAACAAAAGTTCTTCGATCTCTTATTATAATGTAATGTTACATTAAACGTTGGGCGCTTCTAGGCGTCGGACTTGACGCACAACGCTTAGTCGTCTAGGCGGGTGCCTAAGCGGTTTCTGGGTGTTTTTTTCCTTTTTATTTTTTAAATTGTGATACTTGAAGATAAATATATATACTCAACCAAAGATACATAAATACTAAAATACTAATACTATTAACTAAATCGTTTGGATTATCAATTACAATAGCTCTTTGTATGTTTATACTTCTCAACTCAAATTATAAGTTTATCTCAACAGTGAAAAACTCATTCTCAACTCAAATTAATGTTAACTTATAAGTTAACTGTTAAGTTTAAGTTAACAATAAACTTAAACTCAAGTTTACTGTTAACTAAAATATTGTTAACTTAAGTTTACTGTTTACCTAAATTTAATTTTACTATCAACAAAAAACTTAATATTAACTTAAACTTAAATTTAAGTTTACTGTTAGCTTAAACTTAAGTTTAACTTTAACTTAAACTTAAGTTTACTGTTAACTTACACTTCTTAAGTTTAAGTTACTGTTGTTAACTAACTTAAGTAGATATTTAAGAAGTACTCTTTACCTTATTAGTAGTCATATAGATCGGGGGAGCTCAGTAATGTTACAGAAGGTGCTAGGCAGACTAGGCATTTGAGCGAGCGCCTAGACCCCTGGGTGTACGCCTAGGCAGCGCCTAGACGTTTGACTATTTTTAAATTATTTAATTATAATAATTGATAAAAATATGTATTCAATTCATATAAATTTTTTTTAAAAAAAAGATAGCAATCTTAGTTCCACAATAAATCATGCATACTTAGATACTAAATAACCAAAATAATAATTAACAAGGCTAGAGCAGATGTTTTTTTATTTTTAATTACAATAATTAATAGTGAATGTCAATGTTCTAGAAAGCTTAGATGACAGACTGGTGTCTAGACGAATTTCTTTTTTCATTTAAGTGGTAGTCGATGAGGTTTTGTTGAAGGTCGGAGGAGATAGTGGGGATGTTCATATTTGGAGGTTAATAGAGTTTGGAGGACGTGTAGGCTACAACACATAAAATCACAACCAAGGACTACAGGGTACAATCCATGTAAGCAGACAATACTCCCCTAAACGCTCGTAAAATCTAGGTGGGTACCCCAAATACCGCTTAGGCGCTAAGCACTAGTTAGGCGGGTTAGGTACCGCCTAGGCCTAGGCGTACGTCTAAGCGGACTAGGCGGAGGTTTTTTAAAAGAGTGTTATAATGAACAAAATTTGGATGAAAAATATGCTGGAAGTTTTTTATTTTTTATTTTTATGAATTAGGTTTCATGTAATGACAGGTGTATCATGTATGGGAAAGATACTGACAAAGGTTCATTGGATCATACGGAATGTAAATGAAGTGTTTTCAAATTATTCGTCCCTCTTCTCCCTGATTAATTTTCTTACATTCTGTCGTACGGTTTTTATGGCATGAGTCTATTGAATGTTCAAATGTGCATGTAAATATTATAATTTAAGCTCTGGGAGTTGCATTGGTTGCATAGTGGGAAAAGCCCATTGATAAACATGATCATCATCTCCATTCTCTCAGTTACCTACTTGTCCTCATTTTGCATTTGTAATGAGAAGCTTCATAGGATATTTGTTAGATTTTATCAGAACGCACATACAGAACATGTTGATCTATACCGTTTACGGGTGGGAAGAGGATTAGTTTTGAAATTTTAACCAATTTATTTATGGTTCAAACCATCCCACTCTTATAAAGATGGTTCTAATATTATTTGTACTCACGCTATCATGTGCAAAAGCAATTCTTTTCGGAGATTCTTGTCAACCAATGTGCAACACGCACATCTATATAAGTGTTTGCACGTAACAATGCACACTGTTAGCCGAGTCAAATGATACTCCTCTTGTCATTCTATGTTAACTTTGAATTTGCGAACTTTGAATTTGTGAAAAGTTGCGTTGTTCCGTTAGTTTTTTTACATTTTACATTTCACCAAGCGAGATATGTTCATCGGGAGATCACTAGCGTTGTAGAGTTGGTTGGCGCTCTCTTTCTTGCTGATGCAGACAGACAGAAGCATACTACATTGATTTTGCGAAATGATCCTTACTTTGAATTTGTTACGAAAACGAAATATGCATAAATATTGATAGTTCAAATAAGATTTTTTNCCCCCCCCCCCCAAAAAAAAAAAAAAAAGTTTAAAAAAAAGACCTATATTATCAGCTATCTGCTTGATGAGCGTGTAAGGTAGAATACGAACGGATTCAATGTCAAACCTTTAGGCAATAAAAGCATCATCTTGAAACAAATAACGCCAAAATCGAACTTTCGCTATCATAGAACGGATATCCTTTCTTTTAGAAAAAAGGAATTTCCTGTCTATTCAACAAAACAAAACAAAATGCAAAATGAAAGTACGCTGATCTTTTCCCTATTATTAAGGACATGACAAGTACGGCCCTTCCATTTTTCTTATTACATATCATAATTCCTAGTTTACCGTCTCAACACAACTGCCAACTTGTGACAACTTTCCACAAAATAAAAACAATCAAGTTTCAAACATCAAAGATACTATTCACATGCTATAAATATACAAACTACATAGGTACGCTCCTCGCACTCAACTTTTTGAACAATTCAAAGATACACGACATTTCTCCCTCTTGTGATGGATTCACTCACTTTCGCTCCTCATCCGAGACTAACACTTCAGTCCTCCCCCTGCAAACCAAAGCGAATCATCCTTCACAGAGTCAATTCAGCCCTCGCAATCTCACCAAAATCTCCTATACTCTCCCTTGAGACAACTTCACCAGAGTCCTTGAAGTACGAGAGTGGTTTTCTCGGGGGTATTTCTGAGAAAACGCTACCATCTCCCAATGAGTCATGTATTGATGAAATGTCATATAGTGTCGATATACTACTTTCCTCGAGAGTATACGATATCGCTATAGAGTCGCCTCTTCAGTTGGCAAATAAGCTATCTAAGAAGCTTGACAACAATCTATGGCTCAAGCGAGAGGACATGCAACCTGTAAGTAGTTCATATATTTCTCCTTAGTGCGGTTACAGATGATGCTAACATGGAGTTTTTATATGTAGGTGTTCTCATTCAAGCTTAGAGGAGCATATAATATGATGGCAAAGCTTACAAGGGAGCAATTGGATAGGGGTGTTATATGCTCATCTGCAGGAAATCATGCTCAAGGTGTTGCATTATCTGCTCAAAGATTAGGATGCAACGCCGTTATTGCGATGCCCGTTACAACACCAGAAATCAAGGTTTCTACTATTAAAATCAGCGTTAACTGCACATAGACCCATGGCAGTATTGCCGTTTTGAAGTTACTGCCCTTGTAGTTTCATTGCAATTAATTTTGACGCCTTAGACTCTATAATTTCACCCAACTACAATGTCTGTCAAATGTCACCCAGAGTAAAAAGAGTTGGAAAAAAAGTGAACCCAGGGGGTCTATAGTTAAATTATGGCACTGTTTATGTTTTCTTCCCTTTATCCTTGTTAAGAAATCAGTTACATTAACTTTCTACAGTGGAGATCTGTCGAACAATTAGGGGCAACTGTCGTTCTGACTGGAGACTCCTATGATGAGGCACAAACGTATGCGAAACAAAGGGCAGATCAGGAGACTCGCGCATTCGTTCCACCCTTCGATCACCGTGATGTTATAACGGGACAGGGAACGATAGGGCTGGAGATTATTCGCCAGTTGAAAGGACCATTGCACGCTATTTTCGTACCCGTTGGAGGTGGAGGGCTAATTGCAGGCATCGCTTCCTTTGTAAAGAGAATACGTCCAGAGGTCAGTATCGTAATCTCATTCTGCATTGACTTGCAAATTTTTATTGATGATTTTGATTCTAATGCAGGTTAAGGTGATTGGAGTGGAGCCCTTTGATGCAAATGCAATGGCATTATCGTTATATCATGGAAAAAGGGTGATGCTTGAAAAAGTTGGGGGATTTGCAGATGGAGTTGCTGTAAAAGTTGTAGGCGAAGAGAATTTTCGGATATGCAGGGAACTGGTGGATGGAGTGATTCTTGTGAATCAAGATGCTATATGTGCATCCATAAAGGTCACTTCTACCTACACGTACTTCAACCCCCCAAAAAAAAGATAAATTTCACCCAAAAAATTCATGAATTATTTGGTGTTTATGAAGCAGCTACTCTGAACTGTTTTTATTATTGAAATTGCCACAAATTTTTTTTAAAAAATTGGAAAATGCCTCGCTAATGTTCTGTTAAGAAGACTAAAATACACAAGATGGTGAGCATGAGAGGGTAGTTACACATGCTAAACAAGAAAAAATTTACCGAAAAGTACTCTGTGTCGATCGTATGATAACTTTTACTGACTACGCTTAGCGAAAATAGTTCATGATAGGCTACTACGAAATTTAGCCTATTAAAAATGGGCAATAATCATGTATCTTAATAGCTATCACTTGAAATTTGTAATGAGACTGTGATATATACCTCACTATGAAGTTTCTAACTTTGGAAGTTTTTTTGCGTGTTGTAGGATATGTTCGATGAGAAGAGGAGCATACTAGAGCCAGCTGGTGCTCTTTCTCTAGCTGGGGCTGAGGCATACTGCAAATACTATGGATTGAAAGGAGAAAATATTGTAGCAATAACCAGCGGTGCCAACATGAACTTCGATAGGCTGAGCTTGGTTTCTAAGCTTGCCACCAGTACTGGTGCTAATGAGAAGCACACTGCGCAGGATAGTACCAGCGCGCAGCGCAGCTCCGCGGAACTCTGCGACCGGGATGTCTACTTTCAGACGATCCTCCGCAAGGCTATGGCCTCAAAATTAGGATAAAATCTATGAATCCTGCATGGGGATATATATGAATGTTGCTGTTCAGTTTGATCCAATAGATACTTGTATGCCACTTTGTGAAATGTAATGTGAAATATGACGGTATATCATCTTTACTCTTTCTACTTCGTGACTCCTCCATTTTATTTTCTCTCGTGTTGGGTGGAGACTGGAGACCGCAAACACTTGTATAATTCGACTGACTAAGTTCGACCTACATCCGCGATTAGAAATTGATGGTTGAAGAATATTCTGTTTATTAATTGATCGAGTTAAATTGACGACGTGGTAGATGAATGATTAGAATTCAGTAATATCAACAGAGAACCCCAGTAATCAATGGTAAATGATAGGAATTCAGAAATATCGACGAAACGAGGGCTTCAACGGGCTATGAATCAATCAACTGTCAACTTGTTTATGTCTCTGATTTTTCGCAAACGAGCCATGGCCCTCGTATGAAAAACATCAGCTTCTGAGGAAAACCTCAGGAGTAGGTATTTTCTAGAGAACATAAGCAGAATGAGCCTTTGGCTAAGAGGAGCGACTCTTCTTGATTATCATCGTTAGGCAATTACTCGTTCCTGATGTTATAACTAACATTATACCTTCAGACAGAAAGCAAATAGTAATTCTCCGCTAAATGATGAGCAATTAGGATTAAAGAAAATAATCTAAATCCAGGGCACCCAATGTCATGACATGAAAGAGCAACAGAAGATAATAGCATGATGATATTAACTCTCCCTCCGATATCTAGAGAGGAGTAGCATTGTCCAAAAAGGCACACAATCCAACCAACACAGTCCACATTTACTTTTGCACTGTAACTTTGCAGTCCACATTAAATTCATTTACCAGAAAACATTATTAGATATGGCTGCCAGCCTTGAAAAGAAAAAATAAAACCCAATAAAATTAGCTAATATCATCGCACACTGAAACAAAAACTGGCTAATATCACTGGCCTTTATTATGGTAGTATGGTAGTGAAGCCAATGGCTTGGCGAGAGAGCTAGTATAAAAGAACAAGGGAAGGGGGGGAAACTTTTTCTTCTTCATATGTTATTGTATATAGATGACCAGGTCAGTAACCAAGTCTATTTTTTTCAGAAATGTTAAACCCATGATGCAAGATTTGCAATAATAAATTGGTGCTGGTAAATGAAAAGTCTTAACATCTAACGTATCTGATCGATGGGCTTCACGAACAAGTTCTCCAGGGTCTATTACTTCAAGAACACAGTATCAATTATGAGATGCGTGTTAAAATCTGCTCAATCCTTGAGGTAGGAACTTGGATCTTTTCGCTCTCAACTTGGTGGTAGTAAATCACAACCGTCCAATAATATCTAGAAGTTGCAATTTATCTGATACAAGAATCAAAGAGTAATCCAGATGATGAGGATGGAGCAATAGCCTCTCATGAGTCACGAGGCAGTTGTTATTTCATCAGGTTCATGAAGAGCAGCTCAGCTAGACAACAGTATGGGCCAACGCCAGAAGCGAAACAAACTCCTTCTTAAAGTTCAACTTTCAGTTTCTTAAGCTAATAAATAACAGCTAGCAAGGAGCTGAGGTTGCAAAACATGTTTTATTTATTTGTTTGTTTGTTTTTTTTTTTTTTTCGTCTGTCTTGGAAATAGAAGAGGTTTCTTGAAAGCCTTAGCCCCTGTACCCACAAGCTATTGAATTGCACCTTAAATCTGTAACCACTCACCTTTTTCTATCAGCCCATTCCCTTCAACAAAGCCCTCTCTTCCTCTACTTAAATGCCCCAAAACCATACTCATATTCACTTGTCTCTCGCCATTTTCCCAACTAGGACAGCAGAAACTATAATGGGTTTTTTGGGAGGAAGAGCAATGGTGCTAGCTCAAGTATTAGTACTGGGACTTCTTGGAGTTTCAGAAGGCCAAGGCCTTGTTCCTGGAGTATTCATCTTTGGTGACTCGGTGGTTGACGTCGGCAACAACAACCACCTTTACACTCTCGTGAAGGCCAACTTCCCTCCGTATGGTAGAGATTTTAACAGCCATTCTCCAACCGGGAGGTTCTGCAATGGAAAGCTGGCTACTGACTTCACTGGTAAATAAATACTGCAACAATTACCTTAGAAATGACCTGGTATTGTTTTGTCACTTTGTCTTAATTTATATTGCAGTTGAGAACCTTGGGTTTACTACATACCCACCAGCCTACCTCAGCCCACAGGCAACGGGGAACAACCTGCTCACAGGAGCAAATTTTGCTTCTGGTGCCTCTGGATACTTGGATAGAACAGCAAACCTATATGTGGGTATCTTCAAAACTTTGCGTCTTTACTACTAGCAATCTTTCGTTAAGATGATAATGTGGGGGTTTTTTTGTTATCATGGATGCTACAGAGGGCGGTTTCACTGACTCAGCAGTTGCAATACTATAAGGATTATCAGTCGAAACTGAACACAATAGCGCAGAGGGCGAATGCTAATTTTACCGATATCATCTCAGGCTCAGTTTATATTATAAGCGCGGGGAGCAGTGATTATGTGCAAAACTACTACATCAATCCCCTGCTTTATAGGACCTATACCCCAGACCAGTTTGCCGATTTGCTTGTCCAGTCCTTCACGGCTTTTGCTCAGGTATTATATGCTCACTCTGCTCCTCAGATTGTTAACATACCCAGATAGCCAAGTGCTACTAAAAGATCTTACAGGGACTGTGAGAAAAGAGATTATGACTACTAAACAGAATCCACTAGGACTTAAACGCGTATCGTTATCAAAAACATCTCTTATCATGAAGTGTACCGTAGGAGGTTATTGATCCTTTAACTAACTACTTTATGAAACAACTAGTTGCTTCTAGGGAGGAAAAAGATGCTAATACTAAAATAACCTTGCCAAAAGATAATTTTGTTGAAATTTAATCCCATGAGTGCTATATACTCCTGAGATTATTTTTGGATTATTATG